ATGCAACTTAATAAACAGCTGAGTAGAGGACTACCGAGGTGGGGAGGGGGGTGTCCAGCCAATTTTTTTTAGGTTTTATATTTTTCGATGTACTGCATACACTATAAATGGTTTTCATTTGATGTATATTCTGTACATGTGTGGTTTTCTTTCTTGAGACGAGGAGTAATGTGTGTGTGGGGGGGGGGGGGAGGGGGAATACACTATAAATGGTTTTCATTTGATGTATATTCTGTACATGTGTGGTTTTCTTTCTTGAGACGAGGAGTAATGTGTGTGTGGGGGGGGGGTGGAGGGGGAGAGTCGCTGACTACTCCGGGCCTCACAAGCTCTAGCTACTCCACTTCACGGTGGTTACGAAGTGATGTCCTTTTTGTTTAGACTAGATATTATGTATGTGTAGTAGTTGTACCGAGTTATCCATGACAATCTTATCAAAACAGCATTCCTGCCACATTTGGAGGGACGCTGCTGACATAGTTATGTACTTTTTACGGTTACCGGAAATTTGTTTGAAAGAAATTTCGTCGACGGAAATTGATCGACGGAAGTTTGGTCGAACGGAAATTTGATCAAACGGAAAGTTTGGTAGATTTTTTTTTTCAGTTCACACTATCAAATTTCCGTAAAATTTCTATTTGAACACACTATACTACATAGTAAAACAAAATAATGTGTTAAAAAATAATTTTGACGCAAAATTTGAGCGTGTGAACTAAACAAAAATTCGACCAGGCTTCCGTTCGATCAAACTTCCGTTGACGAAATTTATTTCAAACAAATTTCCGGATACGACTACTCAGTGTTGTATGTGACCTTGTTATGCGAGGCTCATTCCTGCCTACCAGTAACGTCGTGGTCCGGGAACCCAATGCTGTACTGTCAGATCTTGATTAGCTTTCCTCTAACTCAGTGGTTCTCAACCTTCCTAATGCATGGACCCTTTAATACAGGTCATCACGTTGTGGTGACCCCCCACCAATACAATTATTCTGGTTGCTACACGATAAATGTGTTTTCCCAATTGTCTTATGCCGCGACCCCCAAAAGGTGTCTCATGTGCGACTCTTATTTTCAAGCATTATTTTGTTCCATATTTCTAACGGTTAGTCAATTTGAAATGTACCTGTTATCAGTGCTGGTTGTTTTGTTTTGTTTTTGTAATCACTGTTAGTTTAAAAATATGTACTCTGCAACAGCTTCCTGCTCCAATAGCACCAAGACATAAATAAACACGCATAGTCTTCAAACAAATACGACACATTCAAACATAATCTTCAACAAATACGACACATTCAAACATAATCTTCAACAAATACGACACATTCAAACATAATCTTCAAAAAATATAACTCATTAAAATGAAATGTTTCTATAATTTTTTTTTATTTAGTATCAATTTTGTTTCCAGCAATGCTAAATAAAAAATAACACCCTCATAATTTCACAAAGGTTGAGGGCCCTAATTGTCATAAATTCAATTCATTATTTTGTTTTCAGATGGCCAAACAGATGGAGAACCCTGAGAAACTAAGCTGTGTGGATCCAGAGATCCACTGTGAGCTTCTAGAACACAAATAATACAAGTGGCCATTCATGTGCCAACTAACTACTTCTCATTAATAAGAGAAACAAGAAATTTTAACAAATGTTAATGGCAACATTTTTATTACAAAAAAAAAAAAAAAAAAAAAAAAAAAAAAAAAAAAAAAAAAAAAAAAAAAAAAAAAAAAATAAAAAAAAAAAAAAAAAAAAAATTTAAAAAAAAAAAAAAAAAAAAAAAAAAAAAAAAAAAAAAAAAAAAAAAAGACTTAGATATTATGACTTAATCAGTCTTGGAGATTTTATCACCAAAAGAACAAAACAAATTGACACATAACTTTGATTTTGCAGGAGTGGTTTATAACCTTTCTCTGTTAAAAACCCCATAGCTGATGATATGAACACAACCATTAATTTGACCCAATGGGTATCCCCACACCCCCCCCCCCCACAAAAAATTGCTATTTTATTTAGCACCTAGTTTATAACCTTTCTCTGTTAAAAACCCCATAGCTGATGATATGAACACAACCATTAATTTGACCCAATGGGTATCCCCACACCCCCCCCCCACAAAAAATTGCTATTTTATTTAGCACCTATCATTTATATACATAGACACTAAATCCTCTATTATAGGACTAGAAACAATGTTTTTGCAGGCTACCTCTCATTTATTAATATAGCTGCACTTTTGCTAGATACCTGCTGCAATGCCCAAATCACTGGAGGAAGTTAGATCAAGTGGCATGAATCAATGAAGTGAATTATTTATGGCACACATCTCCCAACTTGACTTGACATAAAACTGAGGCAACAATTCATCAAACCAGAAAGGCTTCCCTTCCAAGTCAAACCATCAATGTTGGGGAATCCCCCTTTGCCTCGTATTTAGCCTATCTTTCAAATAGATTGTAATAGAAAAGTTGGGAGATGGAAGTATAATGACTGATCATTTTGGTAATTTTTTAATATATATGTATATTTTTTTTTATTACTTTTTAAACTTTTTTTTTTGGCTAACATAAAAAAAATTGCACAAATGTTAATGAGTCATGTTGAAAACTCATCCCATTTTATCAGTTATAATAATAACGTTCACACTAGCCATTGTAAAAAATAGTGTCTGCTTACAAAGACAGTAGAAATGTACAAAACCTATAATGAGCAAGTGCACAAACAGTCACAGGCCTTGATGGAACATGTCAGACATAACACGGTGCCACCAAGTTCCACACAAGCTGCATACTTTGTGCATATCAAATCTATAAAACATAGTTCGAGATTCATTCATGTTCTCCAAGGCACATTCTCTTGTCTTGAAGGGGAGAACAAATTTACAACATAACATTAGTAAACATCTGTAACAATAATCAAAACTTCTTTGTTAAAGCCATTATCAGTTACTACTAGTACAGAAAACATACCCTACATACTTTTAGGACCAAAACCTTTGATCCTCAATCAAAATTCAAACTTCACAAACATAACGTCTCCCTAAAAAATATTAGTAAACATTTAATCGGATAATGAAATTCAAACTGGGTGGAAAATTATTATTTCCATAGAAAGTTAAACTTTTATACCCCTGCAGTTATTGAACTTTCGTTAATACATATCACAGATAAATTTTCCCAGAATGGATGCCCCTTCCCCCCCACATAACCACACTATACTGCTGGCCTTCATTCATCTACACATAACTGCCATTTTTCAGAGAAAACTACATCATATTATATCACGTGGCAAATCAGCTAGCACTCAAAATAACATTTTCACTAAAGTGTACATCATTCTTAACATTTCTCTCAACTGTGAAAGACTGACAGTTACACATGACACTGTCATATTTATGTTGTTTTTTTTAAATTTGACTAGCAGCTTTGTTAGCATACATTCTATAAACATTCATTTAACAGCGGAAGATCATTTCATATAGTCATGAGGCCTTCTTGCAGAGGCAACATATTGTCAGTCAAAACTTAGTCAGCTCATCATTATGCCCAATCGACAAGAGTAAAATTAAGGATGTAGGTGATCTGAAGTTTCTTCTAATATTCATGTTTTTATTTCAATTTTGAGACCAATATTTCCCCACAAAAAAATAAAAATGATTTTATCAGGCTGCTCGATGACACAAGTTGAAAGACACAGCGTTCACATTTATGGTGACAAAAATACTCTGGTAGGCATACAACAGCATGTCGCTCAAACTCAAGGATGAAAGCAGTAACAGCATTGACAAGAATGTTGTTTGTCAATAAACAAAACTGGATATGTCAATGTGTTACAAAAAACATTTGGAATGATTCAAATAAGACTCAAACCATTTCAGCATCTGTCTACACAAGTTAGACAGGATGGCCTCGATAAATTTAGTCAATAATATTTTAAATAATTGATGGGCGGAAATCAGGGGAGGAGGTGTACTTAACCTTGAATGCTGGGTGGATTTAGTTTGTTTTTTTATATATAAAGACAAAAAAAAATAATCACCTCCCCCATTTTATGTTATGGACAACACAATTTTTATATTTGTAACGGCTTGGTGAAATGCATGAAATCGTCATTTGAAAATCAGAAAGAAAAAAAAAATAGTTTTGAAGGTTAAAGAAAACTCTTTTTTTTTTAAAGAGTTTGTACAATTTTAATGGCATCTTCCTATATTTATATATATATAAAAAAAAAAAAAAAAAAAAAAAAAAATGGTGAAATGCATGAAATCGTCATTTGAAAATCAGAAAGAAAAAAAAAATAGTTTTGAAGGTTAAAGAAAACTCTTTTTTTTTTAAAGAGTTTGTCCAGACTTCATGACAACTTCCTATATTTATATATATATAAAAAAAAAAAAAAAAATAAAAAAAAAAAAAAAAAATTAAAATGGGAAAAAATTTAAAATTTTTTTTTAAAAAAAAAAAACATAAAAAAAAAAAATAAAAAAAAAAAAAAAAAAAAAAAAAAATAAAAAAAAAAAAAAAGAAAAAAAAAAAAATTTTTTAAAAAAAAAAAAAAAAAAAAAAAAAAAAAAAAAAAAAAAAAAAAAAAAAAAAAAAAAAAAAAATTGATATAAAAAAAATATTACAACTGGATGAATGACTGCGAAAATAGCTTTTAACCCAGTTTAAACATGTAACCCACAGTTCAAACACGTAAAAAATATAAAAGTATAAACTGATGATGTTGCTTAGGTGAGCTTTGAGAGCGAGGAATAAAATAAGTTGTTTTTTTATAAGGAGATGCTTCAACAATTAAATGCAAGTAATTTAAAGTCACTTAGATCTTACAAGTTCAAAAAAAAAATTAGAATTTAAATTAACTATTTGCATTGTATTCTGAATTTGAAAACAAGCCAAAATTTAATTTAATTTAAAAAAAAAAAAAAGTTTAATCAAAAAGTTCCAGAAACCAAAAAAAAGTTAAAAAAAAATTTTGGAAACAAAAAAAATAAAAAAAAAAAAAAAAAAGTGCATTATTAGAGCATATCCAATATTTTAATATCAGGTTAGTATCCAACTTTTTTTTCTCTATAGACCACTTGGGTATTGATTTCCAATGACAAAAAGACTTTTTATTCACATGCTAAAACACAAAGTTGTATTTTATATCTAAACAAATTAAGAGGGCAACAAATCAAAACATAACTATCAAGAAATGAACGTAAGTACATCTAGAAATACCATCTACATATCTTACATGCACTCATCAAATTTGGTGGATTTAAATTTCAAATTTGTCCATAAAGCAAAAATATATTCTTAAAAAAAGTAAAGTCGTCTGTGTGTGTGAACACAACCGTCTAGTCTTATGTTGTTTTAGTCATACTTAAATACGCTACCGTCCTTGGTCAGATAATCAGAATATTGCTGATGACCCTAATGATGTATAAGCTAATGTCAAATGGAAATTTTAAGAACCAAGCAAAAAGAGGTAATTTTGATGCAGTCTCTGAAGGATGAGGAATGGGGAATGAAAAAAAAAAAATTTAACTCAAGTGTAAGTTATGTTCTGCCCTCCTTTTTACTGCCAGCTCCCTGAGCTAATACAGAAACTTTCCACACTTCCCATCGCTGAGCCACAGCGTGTGATTAGTGGATGACGGTGGCTATTTTTACAGTTGTTGACATAATTTGCAGAAGCATGAGTTGCAGTAGCTCTGCGCTTTGCAAGGTCTGAGAGGCCAGGAGGGGACAGTTTGACACCATTAGAAAAGTCAAAACACAGGGCAGAATCCAAATCGTTGTCACTATGAACCTCATCATCATCCCCACTGCTCTCTTCGCTCACCTTCTCTGGCTTATTACCGCCAACAAAAAACTGGGGTCCTGAGATAATGAGGTGCTGCTGCATCATTCTGTTAATAGAAATGGCGGTCTCTGCAAATGACTCCAAGTCTTTGGTACTGTTGTTTCTGTGAAAATAAAAATTTTAATTTATAAGAAAACTCTTAAATATAATCTGCACACTGAAAAATAAAAGATTAGGTTTTGGTTTGTATTAGTTTCCTTTTTCTTGTTAAGGCCATTAATAGCAATTCCTGATTACATACCTAGTAAGAATATGGGGGGTTGCAAGTGGTGTGGCAGCTGGAGGACAAGTCACCCAAGGGTGTTGAAGAACATCGGCAGCAGAGTAGCGCTTGCGGGGATTGCGTACCAAAAGGTGTTTGATTAAATCCTTGGCACTCTCCGACACGCAGCTCCACTCAACTTCGGGAAACTCATAAACACCATCTTGAATTGAATTGAAAAGTAGCTCCTGACAGTCCTGACAAGCCTCACCTCTTTCCCATCCGCATTCCTCCCCACATTGGCCGTAGAAAGGAGGGTAGCCACATAACATTATATACCTGATGACATTAAAAGAATTGAACATTTAATTAAAATCAAAATACTACCAATAAGTTATAGCATCAATTACATGAAATAACATTTAATCGTTAATTGTATTACATATTTATATATGGAACTTAAAAATGCAAATGAATAATAAATTTAGAAGAAAAAAATAAGGCACACTTACAAAATTATTCCTAGACTCCAGAGGTCACATTTTTTATCGTATGAGAAGGACTCTCCAACCCAGGCATCAACAACTTCGGGTGCCATGTACTCTGCAGAGCCCACAGGTGTTAGAAGTTCTGGAGTCTTACTGCCATCAGAACTGTTGACACTAAGTGGCACACCGCTGGCAAGATCGAAGTCACAGATCTTGAGTGGAACAACCTCCCCGACTCTTTGGCACAAGATGTTCTCGGGTTTTAAATCACGATGAGCAATGCCCTTGCTGTGTAGAAAATCAAGAGCACGAGCGATTTCCCTAACAACCAGTGAAGCTTCATATTCACTGAGGTGACCACGGCTCTCTATGTTGCTGAGAAGTGTGCCACCTTCCATTTTATCAAAGACCAGGTAGAAAACATCATCTTCCTCAAAATACTCCACCAAGTTCAGGATATTCTCACTGCCTTGACATTGATGGAAAATTTCTATTTCCTTGAACACTTTACTTCGCTGTAGACTGGTGCACTTGTTGATCATCTGCAATTATAATAGTAACCTCAGTGAGGATGCATACAGCACAGTATGTTCCTTAACAAAGTATTAATATTATACTCAACTTTTAAAATTGTTTAATTATGTATCTTAATAAATTGTGTTTTTAATGTTTTTTTTTTTAGAAATTACCTTTACTGCAAATTCTTTGCCCGTTTCTTTATTTCTGTATGTCTTGACTGAAGCATATGATCCATTCCCCAAAAACTCCCCAGTTTCCTCATAAAGGTCTGAAGAATGAAAAGAAATATATTAAAGAACTAACATGATAGCATGATTACATTTTTTCAGAAATATAAAAAATTCACAGCAATGGAAAAGCAAACAAAGAAATAACAAAAAAGTCCACACTTACCATTGAATTTTTTAATGGCTGCCCGTCTCTTTTTCTTCCTACTATTTCGAGAGTTAGTGTTCGGTCTGATGTTATTATTGCTGTTGTTGTTGTCAAGGTCAGGAAAAACACTATCCATGTCTAAGGTAAGAGCATTGTCCAACTCCAAGCTGTTTGGCCTAACAGCTGAAGATCTCATTGAGGAAACTTCTTCAATCTAAATATAAAAAAAATATTTTCAATACAAATCAATATATAATTGAACACTCAAAAAAAGAAAAGTTTATAAGTATAATTACATTTCCCAATGTATTAATACTACTATTTATCAAATTTATGATTCTATATTCAAGTACTTAAAGGACTATAACTTAATAACTCAGGTTATAAAAAAATTCTGATCTTTGTTTTCTTTCTAAATAAATTTTTTAATTTATTCAATTGTCAATACTAATCCATCATCTGGTGGTTTGGGGAAAGGGGGGGGGGGGTGGTGCCTATAGCTATTACCCCCATCAAATACATTAGCAACAAGCTCTAACTATTTTTCTGTGGAATACAACATATAATTTGAAACAAGACGTTAGGTCTTGTCTGTAGCCCTGACCTCCCGAAGTTCATGTTTGGCCATCAAATATTACATTCTTCATTATTATTAATATTATTGATGTTTAAACCTTTAAGTAGGGCACAAAAGTTTGAATTATTTATTTTGTGTGCAGGTATGAGAATATAGTGTGTCAAGTGTGTGGCATTAAAACAGTTTATTAATATTGAGTATTAATGTTACATATGTGTGTGTGAGTGTGTATAGGCCTATTTATTATATAGATCCCTTAGTCCATTCCTTAATTCTGCACAAATTCGTATGTTAACAATGGCATTTGAAATGCTACAAGTTAGTATTAGTTGGGTTTGACATGTCACATTACATGTCATTAACATCCAAATATAAGTGTATGATGGTGGTAGTTAAAGTAATTATAATTAATTATGTTACAGTAGGCTCAGTAGGCTGTTCAATTGCTAGTCCAGTCATGTTTTTAATGTGGTCTATTGATTATTGTATTAATCTTAATAAAAAATAGGCTAATAAAAGAGTAAATATAATCAAATGGCTTAATGAGTACCTAGCTAAAGAACTTTACATTTTAAAAATCTGATTCTAAATAACTTATAAGCTGAAACAACTCAAATTACAATTCAAAAAGACAATTAAGACAAAGAGTTTTGACTGGTTGGTTAAATAAAGTCCAACAGAGTTGATATGATTTGTCCATGTCCATAGTTCATATGGTGTACCAGCACCTTTTTCAATGTGGGGAAAAAATTATTACTTTTCTTGTATTTTAACGTTTATTATTAATTAATTCGGTATACTAATAATAATAAAGTAATAATAAAACAATTTAAGTTGGTTAATTATAAAATAAAATTGTTTTAGACATTTAGTATCTTTGCAGTTGTGATTTAGCTTGCATCCAGGTGCGAACTGGTAGTTAAAAGTTAGTCAATCAATCACGGAGTACCAGCGGCGCCTATTTTTTTACAAAAAAAAAAAAAAGCACTGAAAGAAACCTTTATTACTATAGACTATAGTCAGTTCTTAGTCCTTATCAAAAAGTTACAAGCTAGTTTATATCTGCCATTCACTTTCACAGTTCACAGCCCTACTCAAATTATAATCTTGCACAGTGACAAAATACAAGTAATTTAATTTTTAGTAATACAAGAAACTAGAAAAAGTAACAGTAAAGTAAAGTAACTAAGTAAAAGTAAAGTGTCTGAGTCTGTAAAAAAAGTTTTTATTATAATTTAGTATATTAATATATTTTTTAACTACAATAAATTGGGCTAATTTTTTAATTAATTTAAGTCAAGTTACGGCTTAACGATCTAAGCGCAAGCTTAATTATTTAGAATACACTTAGACATACTGATTTTGGTACAGCTATTTTAAAACCGTTAGGACTAACCTATTAACAAAAAAAAATAATGGTGACCTCGACGTTGTGTGTAGTTGGTACTAAAAATAGCCGTCGGCGAAACAAAGCCTCGACCCGACTAAAGAACTTTCTGGTCACTGGTAGTAGTTTTAAATGCGTAGTCATACGTGATCATTATTTGCAAATGCAGTAGACATAATATTTAAATATTTATATTTGATTGCAGCTTAAAAAGTTTCTAGCTCTTGGGTAACTTACCGTTCTCATGTTGAGGCTGATGATTTGCAGATCTGTAACTAATAAAAGAGAAGTGTCGGCAGTTTAAATTTGACAAGAATGATTTATGTTCCAATCCGATTTCCGTCGGCAAATCCAACAAATCACTAGACTCTAAGGCCTTATAATCCTTCGAATTTATAAACTTTTTGCTACAATTTGTCTCGTCGATCAACCATTGCTTCTTTTTCAGGCGTAAAAGCCTTTTTGTATCCCTTCAGTTCTCTCTTATACTTCCATCCTGGTCTAAACACTCTAGCGTTCTCTACCTGCAGACGGTCTCTTATATGTTGCCGACGCTTGCTACGTGGAGCTTGAGTCACGGGACCAACAGCCAATCAGATCGCAGGGCAGACGCGAATAGTGTTTACGTAGCGGTGGCGTGTTGGGGATTTTGCATCAGAAAATGAGGTTGACCGCTTTAAAAATTCCCCCAACGTTTGTTCATTCTGGAATAACGAAATACCACGTTAGTTGCAATCAGAATACATTTTACTTGCAATGTGTAAGTTTGTACGGTATCGATAATACTATTACGAGAAAATGGTTCCCACTTTATCATGAAAAGGAATACATTTATACATGGCATGTCACATGTTAAGACTGTTTTGACTAGGACCATGACCTTGTGAGCTTGTTTTGTTTTAAATCGTAGGCCTATAGGCTATTTGTAAACATTGAAAGAATACTTGGAAAGAAAAGTGGGTTTGGGGGGGGGGGACATAAGCCTACATTTAACTCTAATGCAGTGGTTCTTAAACTTTTTGGAGGTACCGAACCCCACTAGTTTCATATGCGCATTCACCGAATCCTTCTTAAAATAAAATATGATTTTTTAATGATTTTTTTTGGACCTCCGCCGAACCCCTGAGACTGACTCACCGAACCCCTGGGGTTCGATCGAACCCAGGGTAGGAACCACTGCTCTAAGGGCTGGGGGGTCACAGATTATACGATGTGTGATAAAAGTTTGTGTGTAGCAAATTTGTGACGATTTTTTAAAATTATTGGGGGGGGGGGGNTCTTTTATCATTTATTTTATAAGTGTAGGTCTACAACAGTGTTTACCAACCTTTTCTATACACCGCACCCCCCTACGAATTATTTGACTATGGCTGGCAACCCCTACAAATGTAACAATCCGTTAGTTATTCATTGAATTGCAAAGAGGGCTGCAGAGCTTAGAAAATAAAACTTTGATTTATTACATAAAGGAAAATGTGACTGATGATATGTTAAAAAAATGTACAATTAAAATGTATAAAAGTGTATATCAACGCTGTTCTTAGAGTCCCCTTTCCTCGCATCGCCCACTCAGCCCCCCCCCCCCCATCCCGAATGCGTTCTCGCTCCCCCTGAGAGTACGGGCACCCTAGATTGGAAAACCCTGGTCTACACACTGGTGAAGGGGGCATTTGGACAGGCCGCAGAGGGTTTTTTTTTGTGGGGGGAGGGACGTAGCTAAGGTTAGTGCCACTATGGGCGGGTCAAGATTGTTTTCCACCCCTCCCCTTATCGAAAATACCGCGGTTGGCTATTTTGGAATGGGGGGGGTGGGGGTAAAACTACTAACTCATGTTTTCAAGATGCATGAGACTGGATAATTATTTTTTTAATAAAGAAAACTAAAGTGGCCTATGTATGCATGAACTAGGTATTCACGTGAAAAGGCACAAACATAAGTTTGTATCCTTCAGATATGTAACACTATATCCCTTGAACGTCCTAAGCCCGATGACTTTTGGAGCGGGCATATACATTGACAAAATACAAAATAGGCTTAGTTTAATAGAATCTCTACCGCAGCGTGTCCAAAATCAGAGGCTGCGAAAGCAAAAATACAGGTTCTTTCTTTTTTTTTTTTTTTTTTTTGTTTTTTTTTTTTCTCATAACAAAAACATCGGTTTTTTTTTTTTTTTGAGGTTTTTTTCCCCCCCCCCCCCCCCCCCCCCAACACACACACTTTTTTTTCTAACGAAAAATGTATATTTAAAAATCCTAAAATAACAGTGGTTTGCATTGAGTTTGGACTTGCTAAACGAATGTTAATGTTAATCAATTAAATGTGTTGAATGTTATATTTTTGTTTAATCCCAAAGTTTCTATATAACAGCAACACCACCACCAACAAAATACCAAACAGCACTTCTCATTAATAAGCTATTAGCAGATTTCTGTTTGATTTCTTTACAGTTTTGTAAGAGTTTTGTTGATGCTTATTTTTTTAATTGAAACAAAAAAACAACAAAAACAAAAAAAAAAACAACAAAAAACAAATCAACTGTCATCTGTGTTTCGTGTTCCTCTATGTTATTTAAATGTTATAGTAAGTGACACGAGTTTTAATGGGGCTATGAGGTGGAAGTATCCCAATGACCGGGCCACGAAAATTAAAACGCTGTTCTACTGCATGCACTACTTTTTTAAAATCATATAATGAATGTTTGAGACTTACTCTTGAAAGCAAATTAAGACCAAGAATACACATTCTTAACAATAAAAAGTTAACAGAATACTGGTAGTACTAGAATGTAAATAGACTGAAGCTTTCATAATCATCATCATCATGTCCCTTAGTCCTTGGACTGTTGGGGCGCCACAGATGACATGTGAACTATCCTCCTCCATTCCTCTCTGTCTTCTGCACTACGCACAGCATCACCCAGTGTTAGTCCTGTCCACTCTTTGATGTTATCCTTCCATCTTTTTCTTTGTCTTCCTCTTCTTCTCCCTCCTCTTGTGATGCCATGCAATTTTTCTTTGGCAAGCCCTTGTTTCCTTGTTACGTGGCCGTACCAATGTAGTTCGCGTTTTTTCACAGTCACAGTAGGTCATCGTGCTCCCAATTGCTTGGCGAACCCTTTCTTTCACTGTATCAGATACAAAAACTGTTGACTATTTGTTCGTTAAAAAAAAAAAAATCTATTTCAATCAGGGCTACCACACCTTTGGAAATTTCCCAAGATCTTGGGAATTCAGTACCCCATTCAGGGCCAAAACTCACTTAAAAAAAAAAAAAATCCGAAGATCTTAAAAAACATTAAAAAAACTCATATATTTTCATGATCTTAAAAACTTGGTCGGGTTGTTTAGTTGTTTATTACTGGAGGCGCCACATTCCATACCAATTTAAATAAAACCTGCCAAGTCAGGGGGGGGGGGGCCCACTTGCCCCACTTTGCACTACCAAAATGACGTCCCAGGGTGAGGGGGGGGGATGTAAAAACCTGCCAATTAAAAAGCATGCTTTCATTTATGGATGGCCCTTAAGACAATGCACTGGGCTGTATTTTCTTACAAAAGGCATGAGCCCACTTGTGATTTCATCATAAAGTTGGCCGAAGCCTTAACATAAAATACAATAACCGTCTAAATATATTACATTTCCCTAAAACACCAATTTGGCACATTGCTAATATTTTAAAACTGAAATAATGAAGGTTGATATTTTCATAGAATACCACATTGTAATTTAAAAGTAAACATCATGAAAAAAACAAAAAACAACAACAACAGAAGCATATCATTCAGTCAAAGTCTTTTATCATTTATTTTATAAGTGTAGGTCTACAACAGTGTTTACCAACCTTTTCTATACACCGCACCCCCCTACGAATTATTTGACTATGGCTGGCAACCCCTACAAATGTAACAATCCGTTAGTTATTCATTGAATTGCAAAGAGGGCTGCAGAGCTTAGAAAATAAAACTTTGATTTATTACATAAAGGAAAATGTGACTGATGATATGTTAAAAAAATGTACAATTAAAATGTATAAAAGTGTATATCACCGCTGTTCTTAGAGTCCCCTTTCCTCGCATCGCCCCCTCAGCCCCCCCCCCCCCATCCCGAATGCGTTCTCGCTCCCCCTGAGAGTACGGGCACCCTAGATTGGAAAACCCTGGTCTACACACTGGTGAAGGGGGCATTTGGACAGGCCGCAGAGGGTTTTTTTTTGTGGGGGGAGGGACGTAGCTAAGGTTAGTGCCACTATGGGCGGGTCAAGATTGTTTTCCACCCCTCCCCTTATCGAAAATACCGCGGTTGGCTATTTTGGAATGGGGGGGGGGGTAAAACTACTAACTCATGTTTTCAAGATGCATGAGACTGGATAATTATTTTTTTAATAAAGAAAACTAAAGTGGCCTATGTATGCATGAACTAGGTATTCACGTGAAAAGGCACAAACATAAGTTTGTATCCTTCAGATATGTAACACTATATCCC